CAGTTTCTGATAGTGATAAACAGTCATCTTCTCTTTGGAATTTATTTGACAACATGATTGAAAAACCTTCAAATTCCACTTCTACCGAAGAAAATGTTTCTGGATATACAGCTGAAGTCATGGTAGAGATGTACTTAAAAGAGCCACTACAAGAGCGTCATATTGACCCTTTGTCTTATTGGAAAACTAAGCAAGTATTGTGGAAAGCATTAGCTTTAATGGCTACTAAATTTCTTTCAATCCCGCCCTCTTCAGCTTCTTCCGAGCGATTATTTAGCAGTGCTGGTGATATTATTTCTAAAGAACGGAATCGATTAGGAACAGAAAAGGCAGAAAATTTACTTTTTCTTAAGAAAAATTTACCTGTATTTGATTATAAATATTGAATTTATTGATAAAAAAGTTTTTTGAATAATATCGGTATCGGCAATGTTAATAGCATTATTATAACAAATATCGGTATGCAAGTATCGAATTTACATAAAAGTGTATCGGTGCATCACTAGAATTTAGACATGTGCAATTGCTTTGCTAGCTCAGACATGTATATCATACAGCACATAATCTACAGCTTGCTTAGGCTCGCCCCTTTAATGTTTACATTCGTCTAGTTAAATCTATTTTTATCGATCTATTTTTATTTACGACTAGATCTAGATCTAGATCTATTTTTAGCTACCACGACTCCATGAGGAACTAGGAGGAAGACATCTTACTGTATCAAAGTCAAAAGAGAATCCGTTTGCATCCACGTAGATCTAGATCTAATTCAACTATCTCCAACCCTTCCAGTTGTTCTCACTCACCTCTTTTACAGTTCACTTGTTAATCCAATTCTCAGCTACAAAAAGTAGTCTAATGGCGGAGGCTTCATCCAATAAAGATCTAAAAGCCGATGGGGGACAGCTTGACGTTTCCGAAATAAAGGAACCACTTGCTTATGCTACAAATATACATGGAGTTGTTACAAAAGTATCTCCAATGAAATTGAGTAAAGGCCAATAAAAATATTTTGATGGAAAGTTAAGTGATGGGTCCTCCACAAAAAAGTTCATTTCCTTCAATAAGTCTCTTCTTGAACCCCTTCAAAGGGCTCATAACGAATCTACTGCTGTGTCCCTTCAACAATGTTCAGTCAAGCGTTCTGCCATCAGAGAAGATGAACTTGAAATTATTGTATCTGATAAGTCAACTATTGCACCTTCACCTAAAAAATATAAAGTACAACAACTTGCCGAAACAGTTGTTACCACCATCGATGGATTACCCATGTTATCTATCAATAGCCTCATCACTGTAAAGGTCAAAGTGACTCACTGCGACGAACCAGTTCAAATTAATACAGGCTCAAAAAATCTTCAAAAACAAGACTGCACTGTAGCTGATACAACTGGAGCATGTAGACTTGTGCTTTGGGAGGATAAGATAGGTACTTTAGAAAAAGAAACATCATATTTCTTAACAGATGTCAGAATCAAAAGATTTGCCAATGAAAGTTTTCTGTCATTGACAGTAGATAGCACCATATCAATAGTCGATAACATTGGTGACGTCGTCAAAGAAACTCTTTTCTCACCTGAAATTTTTGGTGATGATAAAATTGTCTCTGGAGAAGTTCTGACAGTACACTATCAAGAATTTTTCAAGTGCCTTGCTTGTGGCAGCAAAATTAACGCAAGTGAGAGTCTCATAATACAGTGTATGACCTGTAATGCTAAAGTTAAATCAAACAAAGCTGTGAAATCAGTAATCGCAAAGCTCCAAATCAAGGATGGGGACACAGCTGAGATTCAAAGAGTCACTATGTTCACCAATGTAATCAACCAGCTAGTTGATATCAATAACAACAAGAAAGAATTCATAGAAGAATATCTACTTTCATTGGATGAACTCATTGTTCATGTCAATAAAAACATGATTGTAACTTCCTTGGATACAAAGTGACTGTAACATCTTTTTTCGTAGTATTACTTTGAAGTTTTGCGAACTGAATCATTTATTCTTGATTTAAAATACATTTATTCTTGGAAAAAAACATTTCAATTAAATGCTAGCATTTGCCCCACAAATGGTTTACATACTTTGCTTGCTTAGACTCGACCCTTTAATGCTTTGCATTCGTCTAGTAATAATGAAATATTGTTGTTATTATAAATAAGTAGGTGTTTTACCATAAGTCACACTGTCTTATTGGACAACAAACCTGCAAAACTCTGTATACCGTATATCGGGTATATTTCAATGCATCAATAATTTCGGAAAAAGCAATTCATTGCGAAAATAAATATTATGAAATTTTAAAATATGCGGATAAAAAGGAATAGAAGATATGTGGTATTGTGCAATTAATATGAACACGTGGCTTCATAACTATCCATGGCTTCATGGCTTCTTACTCGAAGGCCATGAAGAGCCTTCTTTGCCAGTTAGAAGTGTTGCTAAGGTTGATTCAGAAGTGGAAAAGTCAGCAAATGCTTCGATTGACTTACCAGGCCAGGTGGTTGATGGAAATAATAGCAAGTAAACTATTTTCGGAATATAAAAGGCTTCTGAATTATTCCATCATTGAACTTAATATTTCCACCACTTTTCATGCATTGAAATATACCCGATATACGGTAATTGTTACTGTAAAACTACAAATTTTAGTGTGCTACTTATTTTAGCGATATTAGCGAAGAGCCTAAACACGCTAAATTTAATATTCACTAATATAAACACCCGGTCACGTGATCACAAAATGTCGCTGATACTATACTAGTAGATAGATGGCTCTCTTCTGCTTGGTTGGCAACACTACCAGAGGAAGGAGAACCCAGTGGAACGACAGCAGCAGCTAACAGAAAAGTGGGAAAGGTTTAATGATACGCCAAATTTAATAGTCGCTAATTTGACATTTAAGCATAAACGCTAAATAAAGTAGCCGCTAACATTAATAGGTTTACAGTATTACTGTAACCACATTAATTATTGCTGATGCATGCACATTATTATGTAATATTGTGTAACCTTAGAACTTTCTAGACTCTGTGGTTTTATGTATATGTATCATGCTTCTTATTGATTTTTGTTCAGTTGTTGTTCAGTAGTTGCTTATAGTTGTTGTTCTCAGTAAAATAATCTAATACACATGGTCTCAGGTTAAAAGGATGATGCGTAGTACTGGAGTAATGAACACTTCCAGTGAACTTCTTCCAACATACATGTATTTACAAGAGATCCTTTGGAGAAGAAAATTCAAAGAAACAGATCATTTCCAGTCTATATTAGATGCTATTAAAGAACAATGTCTGCTATAAACTTTGAAAAACCTAAACCCTAAAAATAAATTCTAAGAATCCTTATTAATTATCATTTCAATTATAATTAAATTTTAATTTAACAATTATTATTCATTAATTATTCATTATTATTCATGATAATTGCATAATTGATTCTCTGGCAGTTTCCTACAGATCTCAAGCCATCACTGCCACAGGAACTGTAGCTGCCTCTGCCAAGTCTCGGAAGATATCTAAGTACACCAACCTGCCCCAGTCTCTCTTCTTCTGTCCACTGGCCATTGAGTCACTTGGAGTGCTAGGTCCTCGATCTCATTATCTTGTTCACCATCTTGGTCCTTGGATTCGGCATCTCGCAGGAGAGAAAAATAGCAAGAGCTACCTACTTCAAAATCTGTCTGTAGTTGTTCAGAGAGGGAATACCAGCCTAATTCATGATTCTTTGCCTCTGGATCCCTCTCTTTAACTTATTATTCTTGTTATGATGTATTTATTAATTTTTTTAAATTAGTCAATTATTAATTTGGTAGGACCTAAACTGCAATGGAGCCAAGATGGCCAGTTACATCTGTTCTTTCTGATGAGTCAGTTACAAAAAGGGCAAACAGATACCTAGATTTACCAAGTGATCAATGGGAGCTGTTACAAGAGGTGGTAAAAGTATTATAGCCACTTGAAACAGCAACTGTTTTCTTAAGCTATGAATACAATGCTTCAATTTCCTGCTTATACCCTGCTTTATTTGAAATTTTTGAAAACCTACAAGCCTCATGAGAAATGAGTCACCAATTCACTATCTTGCACTCAATTAAACAGTGAGATTGTTTCTTCGATAAAATCTAGACGGTCCTTAAATCTTACTGACCATCACAAAGTTGCAACAATAGCAGGAGCCTTAGATCCACTGTTCATGCAGGAACTTAAGTTTCTCACTGACAATGAGAAGAAATCATTCAGAAATTATCTTAAAGGAAAGGTGGAGCTGTTACAAGAGAATGAAGAAGAATTAGAGCACTCCACTGGAGCTGATTTAGACACAGCTTCACCTCCAAAGAAGACAGCCTTAGACCAACTACTAGGAGATGAACAAGAAGAGCTTAGCTCAGATCATAAAATTGATGCAATTTTTTCAGAAAAGTTGTAAGTAACAAGGTCAACCAATCCATTGCAGTGGAGAAAGAATCAGTCTCATTTTCCGTCAATGAGGCTCTAGATCTTACCTGTGTATTCTTCGTTTTCAAGATAATTTATTCATTGAGTATTAACCATAATAACCTGAGGAAATGAATCAGAATATTGTCACGATGACAAGTACCACGCCCAATTGTGGGAAAGATGTATGCATTGCAATGGAAAATACTTATTGCAAGGGCTTGAACTCACTTCAGCAGAGGAGAAACATTGAGAAACTAAGACATTCTGGTCTTTAAGACACAAACTACCCATATTCATCACAAAAAATAGTTAAATTTCTAGAAAACATGAGTAATGGCCTCTTTTATGGCCACTCATTGAACTCAGGACATGTTTAATTGAAAGAACTAGATGGTAAATAGAGACAAATTCATCAGTAAATAACACAAGACACTTGAAACATCATTCCTTTCACTGCTATGCATTGATTGATAACTTTCAGATCATTCAGTTTTAGTCTCCCTCAGGCTGCATGTTGTGGTATGATAAAGGTTGTTCTCATGTTGTTGCATCACTTTTTACAGCTGAAACTGCAGTTTAGAGTAGATTCACAGCTTGCATTATCATTGCTTACCTTGAATTACCAGGCATTACTTTACTATCTTTGTATTTTTCTGCTTATTATTTTTCTGCTTATTATTTTGTTATGTTACAGCAGGAAACCAGTGTTGAAAAGTAGTCTAGATGATTAATAATCTTGCAATTTGTCTAGAAAGCAGTTAAATCGTCAGAAACATTATTGCAAGCAACCTACAGTGAACTGTTTATTGATAAAATCTTTCCTGCTTCTTTTGCTTCCATCTTGCTCTCCTAACTATTTTTGTCCAATTTTTTCATTTCCTTTTCTTCTTCAATAGAGAAGAGAAGAATATCAGGCAAGTTTTGTTGCCTGCAAAGCTTAGTAGCCCAAGACACAGCAATTATTTACCATTGCAGCCAATGGCTCAAACAGCTTATTCCCACAATGGGGTGTGGCCCTTGTCAACGTGATGCAATGATGATTCATATCCTCAATTTAAACTATGAATAATTATTGTGAAAACCAAGAATACCAGTGATGTCTACACCTTCAGAGAGACTGTTTTCTAAAGCTGGCTTAGTAGTGAATAAACTTAGAACTTGAAATCTTAATGTAATACATGTATTGTTTTTGAATCATAATGCCAAGCTCCTGTAGTACAGTTATTCACTATTTTTTGACAAAAATGAGTTAATTAACAAACCAAATGATTCGCATATTCATTTGATTTATTTACAAGAACATTCGATTGGCACATGAGACATTCATCCCATCCCTAGGAGCTACTAATCACAAGAAGACAAGAGAGACACAGAGAGCAGTGAACCATTGATATCAGAAGCCATTGAGGCTATGTTACATAATGAAGAGGTCGTTAAAATGCAGTGTTCTGTAGCCAAATGTAAACGTGAATGGAAAAAGCAATAAGGAAACAAAACAAGAAAGAACAATATAGTTATGCTCCCGATTCAAACTCAGTTGGGACATAGTACTGTATATCTCCATAGCCTTATATTAGACTGCACTGCACAGTAATTGGACCAAATGTACATGCAGTCATGCACTGTTCATACATGTACTGTATCATATCAATAAATTTCTTGTTTCATTTTTTCATATTTTATTCATCTTTAAAACAAAAAATTCTGCGTCATGCACGTGTACATGTATAGTCAGTTTCAGTTTAAGTTGAACATGAAGTGTTCATTATCAAAACATCACGTGTAGCCTCGCCCACAGGAAACCAGTTGAGAACCTTAAAGCAGTTAAAAGCACCCAGTGACTCCAAAATCAGGCCAGAGATGAGGAGGAACCAGTTAACAAGTTTGATCAGCTACCATAACTTACAAAGGAGTAATAAGGATGGCTCATCTGTCAAACTCAACTGAAACCAATTATCAACTATACATGTACATGCACATGTATTGCACCTCATAGTGTACATGTGCTTGTATAATAGTGAGTGGGAGTATCAAAGGCACTGCCTGTGGTTAAAAACGTAATGTATTACTGTGGTTTTCACAGTAAAATGTCTTTTAAAATAAAATATACAAAACAAAATATTGGACAGCTACATAAGCTGATAGCCAACCGCCAATAAAGTCTAGAAAGCCCAGGAGGAACCCACGGGAATTAACAGGTACAATGTACAAAGCCGGAAAAACAGCAAGTCCAGACAACTAATATCTATACACAGATCCATGTGCAGGCAGAGTTTCACTGCTCTCTTTCCGTGTTCAAATCAATGGTTGACTAGCCTCAATAGTACTAAATAATATGACCAGGGAAGGTAAGATGGATACAAGGCCAATTAGCAATCACCAGATCTCATAGATTATATGCTCTTCCAGATATATTCCAATCTATTGATAAAGTAGTAAAGTACCTTATTTGAGCCTCCTGTATAGTACCACAATTGTATTTTACCACAAATTGTAACGATACTGAGCATGCGCAGTGTACATGTGTATATGCCTTTGATATGCCCACTCATTACTACACAAATGTTACAATAACATCCCAAGGCAGGGATACATGTACAACGCATTTGTATCCCTAGGGGGGGTGTTATAATATTTACATGTAATATTACATGTACATGTACGTGACAACTATACCCATTACTGACCTGGTTAATGTACAGTTACAGTTATTACTACTCCTTCATTATGTCCTCTCAATAGTCAGATAACCTGTCCAAGAATGCTGTCATTGTGTTTGGATTAAATATCATCTTCTCTAAAGCTGGTCTCACTGAATTTCATGTATCAATACCTGAATATATATGTATGGGTGTGTGTGTGTGGGGAAGAGATATGAAATAGTAAGCTCCTAGCTCTACCAATACATGTACATGTATGTACACTATTAAATTCGTAAAAATCCAAATTCGATTACTAACTTTTGACAAGGGGCATGTACATGTACGTGTACATGTATCAGGAAAAATATAAATGCTACATGTTTAAGTACCGTAGGACGACTAATGATTATAAACCACACCCAAACCAATAAACATTATGTTTATTGACTTGGGTGTGGTTTATAATCATGACCGACGGACCAGCACTGATTTTGCAGCAAAGAGCTCGAAGGTAGTGGTCCATACAAGAATATAACGGGATAAAAGAGCTGGATGGCTCCACTAAAGCTGCTACTTTAGCTGATTAGCTGCTGGACACTGTAAATGTATAAACACGTGGTCAATCACCATAGCAACTATCTAATCTGTTTCCATGGAAATTCTAATTAGCATTCGCGAAAATTAGTCGTCCTACAGTAACTTAAAAGATTAATTCTGATACAATACATTTCACATGATATACTTAATACCGTAGGTCGGGATATATTCGCGGCTGCTTATTTTCGCGATAATAAAAACTAATAAAAAGGTTCAATTAAATAACATGGAAACCAATTGATTGTTGCTATCACAATAATACCACGTGTTTATACAATTACAGTGTTCAGCAGCTATTTATCTATTCTTTAGCAGCTTTAGTGGGAGCCATCCAGTTCTCCATCCGCTATCTTCTTGTATGGACCACTACCTTTGAGCTCTTTGCTGGAAATACTTGCCGCTCCACTTGTTGGTGATAATTAACCACGCCCAAGTCAATAAATGGGTGGAGAGTCCCAAGAATGGGCCAAGATACGGCGAGGCAGAGTGAAGAGAGTAGCTCTGGTTGAAACAGCTCCAAAGAGACCAAGGATTAGTAACAGCAAGAACAACAGCCCAAGAACACTGCAACAGAGTCCTTTGCTATTAATATCGCGGATTTTTCAATTAAAATTGCATTTGGTAACCATGGTAATTGCTGAGTGCGGGAAAAAATCGTGAAAATAAGCAGCCGCGAATATATCCCCACCTACGGTATTATTAATTACTCACTCAGAATTCCTCCTCAGGTTCTCTCTCCTCCTCCTCTCTCTTCCCACACAAGGACAGGGGGCCCCTGATCTATCCCATCTCCTTGACGACTAGCTGTTTGGGAATTTCGGATTTAAATTTCAAGCCGGTTTCTTTGAAATACTAATACCTGAAAGCATGAATATGTGTGTGTAATAAAAAGGCAGAGTTAGAAAATTGTATAAAAAATTAGAAATAATAATAATATAAAAATGTAAAGACATTACCTCCATTATGGAGAACATAGTTACCATTTGCCCTGGACCATGCTTCCAGTAAACACTATCACTGGACAACACCAATTATTTAGCATGAGCCTTCTTTCTTCTCTTTGTGAAAGAAAATGAAGAGTAGAAGAGAAAGAATTAAAGTCTGTTCACTTTCACCTGACCCCTGGGCCCTGGCTTTTTTCAATTCTACGTGTCACATCCGCATTCTTTACGTATTTGTGGTTTTGGAATTGTTTTTGTTGCACGGAAGGGATGCAGATAAGTAGCAGCTGAATTTATTCTGGCTGTTCTAGCTGCATAATTGCAGTCAAAGGTAATAAGGTATGTCATTGAGTTTATACAGGGACATCCAAAAAAGGTTAAGGCCTTATCGTTTTGACTCGATCTTTTATCTAAAGGACGGGAAGGACCTAGCAATTTTAATGGTGCAAACAAAATTTCTAAATTCTATGTTTATGTATACTATATATATCAAAAGTTATAACAAAAAATCAATAGGTCAGGTGAAACTGAATAGACTTTAGTAGATACATGTACATAATGTCACATGTATTGATGATGAACATACTGTAAATATTATATGACTCACTTTAGAGAGTGCTCCTGATAAATGAATGTTATCCACTTTTACATGTTTTATGTGTTACAGATGGCGACCATTGTAAATAGAATCTCTCCTAATTCCTTTTATAAGAGATGAGCCTTTTTGGAAATCAAAATAGTGATAGATGACAGTGACGGTTGATACAATGTTGCAATACATGTACATTGAGTATGTAAGAGAAACAGAGACACAAAAAGTAAATCAAATGTATATCAGAATCACACATGTTCCTTTAAATGTACAGTGTACATGTACATGTTATTACATTGTACCTTTGTCTTGATGACATATGTCTTTAACAAGCTGTTGCTTCAGTGTGAATAAATTATGTCAGATCTCTAAGGAGATGATAATTTACAGGTACATGTGTCTAAAGCAAATAAGAATGAGCTAATAACTTTATTGTATATGCTACACTAAAGCGGATCGTTGGTATGATGTGTGTTTTGTGGTCTACTCTTTGTGGGACAATTCATGGTTTTAACTTCCTTTAAAAAAACAAAAAAGTCAAAAAGTACTAAAATAAAGTGCTGCAGTGCCGCAATAAAATCAAGCTACTAATGTATGGTATACACAGCACACAGCAATTTAACAATATCTTATTACTTACATATTTCTTGGCTTAAACTGATAGCAAGTCATTAGATTTAACATCACCTTTTTTAGTCTCTCTTTCCATCTTCCCTGAATAAAAAAAATTTATGTCAATAATTAACAGCTGCCAAAAATGTACATGTATGAATGACATACCCTATAGCTCCAAATTTCGTCAAATTCGTCAGGTACTTAACCAACTAAATTTTTGTTCCAAGTGGGTAGTATGCGGATTAATAACAAAAATTTTATTGACAAAAATAATTTTAACAAGAAATTAAGATTTTGATGAAATTTTTGACTCATGAAAATTTGGAGCTATTTGGTACTGTACATACATGTATAACAAAATTTTAAAGAACTGTAAAATTTGGTGAATACATGCATTGTTGTAAATATGAAAATTTAAGTTTAATTTTACAAATAATTCATTGCATAGACAGCACACAAAATTTGATTGCATCAATTAAAATTTTGATTCATATCTGATAAAATATACATGTATTGCTTGACATGTGTGTGTGTGGGTGCATGTTGGTGTCCTCCAATGTCAACAAAATTCAGTCAAGGAGCAGGGTTGGGGTTGATTAAAATTGTAATCGCAATTGATTAAAATGAATTAGAGGTTTTTCAGTAATCGTAATCGTAATCATAATCATAGCTATGTAATCAGTCCACTAGAAATGTATTTTACATCATGTATTTACGGGTATCATAAATGCATAATATCATAAAAGGCTAGGATGTAGCAAATGGAAAATGTACAGTACATGCGTACACTAATGATTCATTCTTCAACTATCAGTAATAATTAAAATTCCATTACAACTTTCATCATAAAATAATTTTATTGGCAAATTGCAGTTATTAAAATTTAAATTTCAAATTTACAAATAATTATCAGCTAAATCTTACAGTTTGTTCAGTAAAGAGTGAGCTGGCCACGTGTCAGTTTGCAGGATGTCCTTCATAAGTCCGTCATCTTGAACCACGGCTACAGCATCGACTAGACGAGCAATGAACTTATGAAGTTGCTGCCTAGCACTGCCTGCTTCGCAGCCTCTGAATCTTCGCATCTTCTTCTCGATCTCACTCTCTCTCTTTGAGTTTGCCTTGACGAGTTGAGTTGACGTCTTCAGTTGACGTCTTCAACCACGTGTGACTATTCTGCGCATGCGTAGTAATTCCTCCCGGGATATACCGGGAATCACAGCTTCAGAAGTGAGGCTGTGAGCCTGTGAATAAAAACCTGAGAGATTTGATTAAGAATAAGTGCAATTTTCACATAAAATCTATTTTAGGTGTGTCATCAACGTTCCCCTAACAATTTTTATGTTAATTTTTGTTTGATTTTATTCCAAATTTTTATTTTAAACATTATTTTTAGATGCAAACTTTATATAAAAATAGGTGCATACAAATTTTCTTTATAGTTAAAACCAAAGTGCCATTTTTAAACAGAAGAGGCTCAGTTTTGCCAATTTTTGAAAGCTGAAGTGTGATTTTCACACTTTAATGCATATTGATAAATTTAATCAGCATTGATAAATTTAATCAGCATTGATAATACAGTACCAATTAATAATACTTTATAGGGGGTATATTTCCAAGAAAAATATTTCACGAAAATCACCTTTCAACCTATTCACAAAAAATTTTTTGCGTTTTTCTTCTACTGACCATTATTAGTATGATAAAAAATAATTTTCATAAATAAAAATTTTCACAAATTTTTTAAAACTGTGAAATTAGCGAAGTTAAGGGTGCTGCCTATAGCAACAATTATTTTATGCAGGAATGCTTAAGCCATACAAGTGTCCCATATAAGAATCTTATTAGGTTCTTTATGCTCCTCTAAAAATGGGTTTTATTTTAATGAAAAACCTTTAAGAAAGGGACTGGAAATATATAAAGCTGTAAAATGAAGTTTAGATTTTGAAATTGGTGTTTTATGCGAGAAAAATGCAAACTTTCAAAAAACTTTGCCTGTAGTGATCAGAATCAGACCAAATTTACAATATAGCCTCTTTACATGATTACACATACAGTAACATAGAGATATTTCAATTAAACAGGGCTAATATAGGAAAATGTGGTGTTGAGCAATATGAAAATCAAACTAAGTGGCATTACTAGTAGAAAAGGAGAAATATCTCTATGTTAATCAATTTGTTTGGTTAAAAACTGCCTTCACCTAGAAATCTGGTTATTCAAATCGAAAGTAAGAGGAGTTTTTCGCTTTTGAAAAATCTTTAGTATTTTAGCTCTTGATGCCATAGCTATTATGAGTTAAAGGCTCCAAGGTAGCTTACTAACTTATTTAGTTACTGTCTTGTAACTAGTACTGGTTTCATTATGATTGGTAAAGTACTTTGGGAGAAACAGCTCCCTTAGCAACAGATTAAAAAATTTGCGTGGGCGGTGGTGCAGCACCCTTAAATCCCCGTAAAATATACCCCCTAGACAGTAATAATAATGGTAATACCACTAATTGTGATTAACTTGTTTGGAGGTAGATTTATCCAGAACTAAGTATATAGAATTACATATTATTGTTAATGTATATCTATCACTTTAACGTTCACAATCACTCAACAAGAGGTTATTAATAAACTGTAATGAATGTCTACTACTTCAAGCAAGACAATTGTCATAAAATTTAAAAGAACTGAGAAGACAAACAACAGTACTCAATTAATGTGACTGAAACAACACAACTTAATAATAGTAATGCATGTAGGTACAGTGTCTGTTTTGTTCTTTTATCATTGACCTCCTCTTAGAGCTAACACAAGATGAAGAACTGAACCTCCTTGTATCTTATAATCAGCAGCCGTTTTATCATCATTCATTTGTTTACCACTGAATATTAATCTAAAAGGAATAGCATAGTGTAACAACATAAAAATATTATTATAGGCCACATTTACACAATACTGTTTTTAACAAAATTAATTTTTGGTTGGCTAAGGGTATCACTAAAAATTTAAAACACAAAAATGCCTATGAAATCTAGACAAAGGAAAAAAAATACCGTAAAAATTAATGATAAAATTAATTCAAATAAAAATACAGCTACTGGATTAGTGTAAAAACCTGATAATGGTAATAGCATAAGCTTCATAACCGATGTGGATTAGTAGTGTAAAATGGCCTTAGTAACATATTTTGTAGTCACACATACATGATACCGTATACTGGGATATTTTCGTGTCGCTAAATTTTTTGCGAATCTTGCATTTGTAAGATTTCACAAAATAATATTTTCGTGAATAGCTTGTAAACTCTACCACATGGCAATGAAAATTCAGAATTTCACGATTTTTATTTTCGCGACGGAGCAAGAAAACATGAAATTCGCAAAAAAATTGGCTACTCAAAAATATCCCAGTATACAGTGTGTACATGTAGAATAGCATTTACATTTTACATGTATAATAGCAGTGTAAGTAAATATCATAAAAACCTTTGCTGTGGTGGTGGTATACCCTCCTTCTCTTCAACTCTTTCCTTAATCCTCTCAACCTTTGATAAGTACAATAATAAAAATAATTAATAAAACTTAAAATATTATTGTTGTAATAAGTATTATAATTACAATAATAGTATAAAAATAACAGAATAAGTATGAAAAGGGAAGAGGGAGAGAGTAGGGATAAGGAACAGGAAGAGCAATAAAAATAAATACAAAATTAAGAAAACATAATTATTATCACACTAATACATATACACTGTACATGTACATGTACATGCACATCACACAATCAATAACCTAACAAGGTTTTTGTCTTAACTATTTTTTTGTGTCTAACTATTATCATTGTAAATTAATAAAGCAAGCACATGTATAAGTGCATGATTTTTACCTAAAGGTAGGTATGTAGGTGTCGAAATTACATGTACATTGTACATGTGTACATGTGTAGGTGCAAATTTCACTTAAAAAGGTTAACATAAACTTATTGGAGCATGTCTATGTACATTATGTTGAAATATCTTTATAAAAATTGTACATACATGTACATGTACACATGTGCCTTATCCTATACATATACTTACATGTAGTATAATATTAAACAAGGCATATACTATTATAGCTGATAATTTTTGTGGGGTATTAATTTCGTTGATTCTGCTGTGCATTAAAATTTTAACACATACATGTAATACCCAGATAAGAACATGTACATGTACATGTACATGTATCAGAAAAATTATAAAAACTGAGAATTCTCTCCTTTCATTTTTGGTGAAATTTGGCCCATGAACATGTACTATAGCACATGGACTTTGGCCCAATTTTTGTGTAACTTAAAACATTCATAAAAATCCAATTTTGAATCAAATAAAACTTTCTACGTAACATAAGAACATGTAGATACATCAGAAAAAAAATAAAAACATAAGATTCTCTGCTTTTCAATTTTTGCAAAATTTGATCAAAAAACCCTGTACTAGAGTACAGGGACTATGACCCTAATTCTGAGTGACTTTTAAAATTTGTAAAAAAATCCAATTTTGATTGGAATCGGCTTAAACTTTGTACACAAGTTGTCAACATAAAAACATCATGTACATGTATGTATCAGGGAAAACAAAAATTCTTTAACTATACACACAAGTATTAACTTTTAAAGAATTTGGGACAAAATATAAAACATTGAACCTTTGAAAACTAATGTACAAAACTAGCTACATGTTATCCCATGCCATAGCAAAATGGCAATTGGAATTATCTAATTTACATGTACTCCATTGATGATAGGTGTCCCACCCACATGGTGCTGTATCACTATTCATCATTGTATTAATTATACATTAAATATAATACTACCCACCCTCTCAAGAAACGAAATGTACTGTGTATTTGCAATGGTCACAATAATACAAAATTACCTTATCAGTTGGTTCAATGTCAATATCAATC